TGCGAACACTGTGTGTTCGGGAAGCAGAAAAGAGTCAGCTTCAAATCTCCAGCAATACATCGAACAAAAGGTACTTTGGACTATATTCATTCAGATCTTTGGGGTCCTTCTCGTACCCCGTCAAAAAGTGGTGCCAGGTATATGTTAACTTTCATTGATGATTATTCAAGAAAGGTTTGGGTTTATTTCTTGAAAAATAAAAGTGATGTTTTCTTAACTTTCAAACAATGGAAAGTTTTGATTGAGAAGCAAACAGGAAAACATGTCAAGCGACTTAGAACGGATAATGGCTTGGAATTTTGTAATGATGAGTTCAATGAATTTTGCAAAAATGAAGGAATTGCTCGACATCGCACTGTGAGGATGACCCCTCAACAAAACGGTGTTGCAGAAAGGATGAATAGAACTCTTTTGGAAAGAGCTCGTTGCATGATTTCAAATGCTGGGTTGACAAATGCTTTTTGGGCAGAAGCTATCTCTACAGCTTGTTACATTGTCAACCGTGCTCCTTCTGCACCCTTGAACTTTAAGACTCCGGAGGAAATGTGGTCAGGTACTCCTGCTAATTATTCTGATTTAAAAATCTTTGGTTGTCTTGCGTACATGCATGTGAATGATGGTAAATTAGAACCAAGGGCAAAAAGGTGCATTTTCCTTGGATACGCATCTGGGGTGAAAGGATACAGACTCTGGTATCCTGATCCCAAGTCACCAAAATTCATAATTAGCAGAGATGTAACCTTTGATGAATCCTCTATGTTACACCCAAGAAAAGAGTCTTCTAGTTCTAGTAATACAAATAAGGAGCAGAAAATACAAGAGCAGGTGGAGGTTGAACTTGACATTCCTTCAAAGCCAAACTCATCAACCCTGGAGCAAAATACAGTTGAAACTCCTGAAGTTGAAGCTCCAGAAGTTATGACTTCTGAAGTTATACCAAATGAGTATTCTATAGCCACACACCGACCAAGGAGACAAATTCAAAAACCTGAAAGGTATGGAGATTATGTTGCATTTGCTTTTTCAGTTGCACAGGAAACTGAAGAAATTGGAGAACCATCCAATTATTCAGAAGCTGTTTCTAATGCTGATTCGGCCAAGTGGCTGGTTGCAATGAATGAAGAAATTGAATCTCTCCACAAGAATGGTACTTGGTCTCTTGTGAAGCCGCCGTCAGGTAAAAGAATTGTTGGTTGCAAATGGGTCTTCAAGAAAAAAGATGGAATTCCAAGGGTTGAAGATGCGAGGTATAAAGCACGATTAGTTGCAAAGGGCTATAGTCAGGTACAAGGAGTTGATTTTAATGATATTTTCTCACCTGTAGTTAAACATAGCTCTATTCGTGTCTTGCTTGCCTTAGTTGCCATGTATAATTTGGAATTAGAACAGCTTGATGTTAAGACAGCTTTCTTACATGGCGAACTTGAGGAACAAATATACATGCATCAACCTGAAGGATTTGAAATTGAAGGAAAAGAAGATCATGTTTGCTTGTTGAAGAAATCCTTGTACGGATTAAAACAATCTCCAAGACAATGGTATAAGAGGTTTGATTCCTTTATGTTGGGTCATGGTTATTCGAGGAGCATGTATGATAGTTGTGTTTACTTCCGAAAGTTAAATGATGGTTCATTTGTTTACTTATTGTTATATGTTGATGACATGCTCATTGCTGCTAAGGATTTGACAGAAATTCACACTTTGAAAAGTCAGCTGAAAAGTGAATTTGAAATGAAAGATTTAGGAGCAGCTAAGAAAATCCTTGGCATGGAGATCAAAAGAGATCGAGGAACCAAAAGGTTATTCCTGACCCAGAAAAAGTACTTGGAGAAGGTCTTGGAGAGGTTTGGCATGAAAGATGCTAAACCAGTGAGTACTCCTCTTGCTGCTCATTTTAAGTTATCAGCTGCTCAATCGCCGCAGACAGAGGAAGAAGAGAGATATATGGCACAAGTACCATATTCCAGTGTTGTTGGCAGTATTATGTATGCAATGGTGTGTACACGTCCAGACATTTCACAAGCAGTAACTGTGGTAAGCCGGTATATGGCTTGCCCTGGTAAATCACATTGGCAGGCTGTGAAATGGATC